TTGATAATCTGATTGTTGGGTTTGTTTAATACTACTTGGGTTTTTAAACCCTAGGATTATCTGGGGTTCTCCTTCTATGCTGGCAGGATGGATTTTCGGGTGGTCTAGGGTTTGAATTTTATCCGGGTATTTATTTGATGGAGTATGTTTGAAGAATTTATCTGTTTTGACTGAGAGGGTTACTTTTGATTTGCCTGTTCTTGGAACATGAGAGTGCTCCTGGGTTGTTTTCCTTGAGCAATGAATCGTCGAGAAGCTTTTGTTACTGCTGTTTGTTTGAGAAGCTAATGGTGACAGAAAATTAGATTCTTCTGTTCAAGGCATAGAGGCTTTCTTGATTGACTGGACAGAGTGTATATTAGTTGTGCAGCGAGTTAGAGAGGAACAAACTATTTCTACCGGTAAAGGACAGTTCAGATTCTTTCATTTTTCCGCTTCTTTATTGGGGAACTTTTACGATTTTTCTTCAAAATTCTTGTTGGCAGCTTGGAAACGAATATTTGTAAGTGCTAGAATTGGGATATAGACTGAGACCGGTGGCATTAGTGTATATGGGTCATTAGATTCGGTATAAAAAGTGTAATCTTAATCTAAAGGGACATTTAATTCTGCGGAGGTGTGGTAACAATTTGGCGTCCGAGCGTGATGCTTCATTGATTCAAAATAGACTTGCTGGGTTACTTTCACCTTTTTCTTTGTGTATGATAATGTTTAGCACTAGTTATGGAAAGAAGTGAACCTACCTTAGTACCGGAATGGTTGAAAAACGCTGGAAGCTCAGCAGCTGGTGGCTCTATATCACATACAGGTATTTATTGTGATTCTAAGAAAATAACATGTTCTAACACTACAGCAGTTTATCTGGAGATGCTTTGTAAGTTTATGGTTTTTTTTTCTTTTTTCTTTTTTTCTTTTCAGATGATCACCCTGCACCAAGGGTTTCGAGGAACAAGTCTTTTGTGAATAATAATGGTCATGATTTTGGACGATTGTTGAGTTCCGAGAGAACTTCATCTTCGTACTTCCGTCGGAGTTCGAGCAGTAACAGTTCTGGTAATTTTAGGTCTTACAGTAATTTTGGTAAAAAGCAGCGTGACAGGGACTGGGAGAAGGATACATATGATTATCTCGAACAAGACAAGTCAGCCAAGGGGGACCGCAGGTACCATGAATTTTCAGACCCTCTTAGGAACACCTCAGTAGGTAAATTTGAGAGGGATGAGATAAGGCGATCGCGTTCGATGGTCTCTGGTAAACGTGTGGACACATGGCCTAAACGAGTAGTGTCCGACTCAAATGATGCCATTGGAAAGAATGCGAATGGTGTGGCAGCCAGGCCCAGTCCCATTGGAGGGGTGAACAAAGCAGCTTTCGATAAGGATTTCCCGAGTTTGGGGGCAGAGGAGAGGGCAGTGACTCCTGATGTGGGGAGGGTTCCGTCTCCTGGTTTGAATAATGCCATTCAGAGCTTACCTGGTGCCTCGGCTTTGATAGGTGGTGAGAAATGGACATCGGCTTTGGCGGAGGTTCCCATGTTAGTTGGAGGCAATGGAGCCAATTTATTGCCTGTGCAACAACTTGCCCCGCCGAGTTTTGCCTCTGGGGCTTCAAGCTCGACCACCAGTCTCAACATGGCCGAAGCTGTGGCTCAGGGTTCTAGTCGTGTTCAGGCCACCCCTCAGGTATATCGTGTCTCTCTCTTTCTTGGGGATTGACAGCATAGAGTATGTTAAATTTAGTTATTTTTGTTGCAGTAGTTATATCATTGTTATTTGTTTTTGTAGTTATCTGTTGGAACTCAGAGACTTGAAGAGTTGGTGATCAAACAATCCAGGCAATTAATTCCTGTGACGCCATCCATGCCAAAACCTTTGGTGAGAATCAACTGTCTGGAGTTTATTATACAGATGTTATTGTTTGTCATGCATCTCCTTGTAGATCTGTTTTCGTTTCTGTTTTGATTGTCATGATATTAGTTTGATGTTTTATGTGGTTAGTGGTGGATGAGGAAATTCACATAGCTTCTGGTTATCAGTTGATTTGAAACGGATTTTCGTCTAGAATTTTTGATTCATTAATATAATGAAGGCTTTTCCAGCTTGGATCAGTTTTAGCCTTTAGGAAACTTTCTCCTGTTTATTTAACATTGACCATGACCTCATGTCGAGTATATGTGGTATAGAATGGATTCAAGAAATTATTCACAAGGTATGCTGGCTTCTCATTTTATAATCTCTCTGATGCCAGTGTCTACTATTTTGATATTGTGCTGATATCAGTGCTTGTAATTTGCCTTACATTATGTTATTGTCTTTGCCTCTGAATATGAACATGCAGTCACTGTGGAGTATTCTTTATGGTTTTAGTGTATCTTGTATCGCGGGGAAGCTACATGTGAAAATATTCTTTATTTTTAATTGAAATTCTAAACGATGGTACAACCATGCCTCTAATATTCACTTCAGTTTTCCCTTTATGTGATATCTTTATACTCAGTGAAACACCCAAGATCATGGTTGAAATCATATTAAATGGCTTAATCCAGCAGGGAAAAATGTTGTATGTTGATAATAATAATAATATTAATAATATATTATCATTAACATTATTATTATTATTATTATTTACATAAGTAGAGTAGACCAATTGTTAAGAACATAAAAATAATAGTTTTAACATATTATTCAAGAATAAGCCATCTTAATGTTATCATATCAGTGGCGAACGACGAAAATGGCAGCAGGCCAAAATCGCGCCACATACAGCCCCCATGGCGGCTTGTGATGCCATCACCTGCTTTGTTAGTTTTGGCCCGCACAACTACCCGACTTCCATTTGTGCCGTCCTTTACCTTACTGGTTTGTGTAACTGTTTCTTCTCTTGCACAAGTTTATTATGGCGGCTTGTGATGCCATCACCTGCTTTGTTAGTTTTGGCCCGCACAACTACCCGACTCCCATTTCTGGCCCTCCTTTACCTTGTTTGTTTGTGTAACTGTTTCCTATCCGGCACGAGTTTATTATGTTCCAATAAAGTCTCCTTTTAAAGTCTTTTCATTTTCATAATCGTATAATTTTTATCCCTTAACAGAAATCTGCAAACACTAGAAATACATGATTGCCTTGTCCTTTCTTTCTTAAATATGTTGTAAGTACTCCTAGAGGGGTTTGGATTATCTAAAATATGAACTGAGGCAGCTCTAGGGTTTAAACTTAAATTATTATAGTAATTTGAGGGAATAAGTGACCATGCGATATTTACGTTGCACTGAGCTTGGTATTTCTATTGGTATGTTTTCAGCATGATTATGTTAGAAGAGATTATGCGAGATTTTGTATAGTGGTAATGGATGATAAATTTGATCTTGGACTGGAGAATGATTCAGTTGTAAGAATTTAAATAATTCACTCGTACCTCTGCTATGCCTAATCATGATTACAGCTTTTGTGAAGACCTGTTTGTGTCTGTATGCGATGTTCACATTTTTCTTGGCATCATTGGTATTTTCCTTTATATGTTTGATGTTGGAGCTTTTATGACTCCATTGAATTGATATTTCCTGAGAATTAGTTTTTTAGTCATATAGGAAGAATGTGCACGAAACTCTTACTTGCAGAACTTGCAGAATTACTATTGTGCTCTATTAAAAAAAGGGCAATGCTACATGTACAATTGTAGTTTACAACATTGGTTGACAACTTAGTTAAAAGTATCATTAACTAAAATTTTAATCATACATTTAATTGCATCTCAACCACCCACATTATGCCACATCATGTTGTCATTGAATGTTGTACAAAAAAAGTTGTACAAGTAGCTTTTTCCTTAAAAAAAAAACTTTATGCCACTGGAATTTGGGCATTATACACGAGTGGTAGCCAAACTTGTATTTTCAATATCGTTGGCAAGTATGAAGGGCCTCTAATTCTTAGCTAGAGCTATATGTTCCATGGATTTGCCATGTTCCATGTCACAAACAAGTTATGCTCTTGTCTGATTGCTGTAAATGTCCTTGAAGTCCTAGTAGAGTTGATCTATGATAATGACTGCTGGCTGATGGTAGGAGATGATATCTTATTAGTAGGATCTTTCTGTGTTGATCTGTAAAGTAAATAAAGGGTAAAAGGTCTTTGATTAGGTAATTGTAGAGTCCATATGTAGTATTCTTGAAATATTAAGAATCTAATGTCCTCAATCTATGCCCAGAACATCTCGTCAGGATATATTGCTTTAAGAAAATTGCAAAACGTCTCTTGTAAGCTCTAATCGCAGCATTGGCATGATTTCCCCTTGAGGGTTTATTATGGCACTATGATGATACTTGTTGATAGTGAGAGAATACTGCCTTTGTTGTAATGTTCCCTTTTTGTTATCTGAGTATATTAAGTGTTGTAATATACTCATTAAATTTGATCCAGGCATTGAATTCTTCGGATAAGCAGAAAAGTAAAGTGGGCCCGCCACAGCACCATCCCATATCATCTTCGCCTCGTGGTGGGCTAACAAAGGGCGACATTCCAAAAGCATCACCCACAGTGGGGAAGCTCCACGTTCTCAAGCCTGCAAAAGATAAGAACGGTCTCACTCCCGTCATGAAGGACAACCTGAGCCCAACAAGCGGTGGCAAAGCAGCAGGCTCTCCAC